TTAAGCTTCGGGTCCCGTGGACCCCGCGAGTGCTTCAGCATTGAGGTCGCGAGCTGTCTCTACGTGTAGACTAAGCTCTCTGTCTTCGTGAAAAATTGGAGTTCGCTCAGATCTGCTCAGAAAAACTTAGCGGCTGCCGTAGCCACCCTTGCGAGTGGGGATGTCCTCACCCCAGCCGGCGGTGCCGCCGTTGCCGGAATAGCCTTCGGGGCGATCGGCAAAGAGCGCATGAGAACCGGCGCCACCGCGGAAGGCCTGCTCCAGGTGGATCTTGAAAGGTCCGAGCTGGAAGATGCCGGGGAGGGTGGTGTCGGTCTTGCGCTCCTCCGCGAAAGGACGCATGCGGTAGCGACGGCCCTGCTTGTTGCAGATCTTGAACATGTCCTTCTCTCCAATGAAGAAGCCCTCAGCGACCACGAGCTGACCAATGCCCTGGGGTCCGACCTCCATCTTGTCAAGCCGCCATCCGTTGCGGGCCACGGCCGGTCCTTCAGGACGGCTCAAGGCACCGCCGCAGAAAGCCTGCAAGCAGGTCTCTGACCACATGGCCACGCCGACCACGGCGGCGAGGGCAAGGGCACGGGCTCCGAGACGTGCCATCTTCAATGATCTGGTCTAAGCCGTGGGAGATCTGATCCGGAAAAGAGCTGATGCGGCAAAGGTGTGAGGCGAACGGCTTGACTGCGACAGAGAGCGTCCTCTAAAGCTTTATGCCCTTGGCCCGAAAATACACGTTTCAGTGCTCAGGGGTGGGTTTTAAAATGCCTGAGTCTCAGAAGCGGGCGTTTGGGGCAGAGTCTACAAGTTGGCTTCCATGACCCTCGACCCGAACTCCCAAAAGAATCGCGTGTCCAAATCTTCAGCCCTATGTCGATTTCATCAGACGATTGCACAAGAATGCACGCCTCCGCCTCTGTACGTAAACCTCCCAAAGTCAAAAAAGCCCAACCACCCGCTTGCGCCGTAGTCTGATACGGATGCCTACACTGCCCGTATCACTATACTCCGACTGGGCCTCGTTGCGCACGGGATCCGCTAAACCCTAAACCCTAAACCCTAGACCCTGAACCCTTAATCCTAAACCCTAAACCCTAAACCCTAAACCCTAAACCCAAGCCCCTTCAGCAGTCTCGGCAGACCAGTGCCTCGATAGGCGGTATCCGGGATCCGCAGGGGCGTGCCGAGCGTAGGACCCAAGTCATCGAAGTCCACAATGGTAAACCTCGATAGCTACCCTAAACCCTAAACCCTAAACCCCCAAACCCCAAACCCCTAAACCTCTAAACCTCTAAACCCTAAACCCCTAAAGCCCCGAAAGCCCCAAAGGCCCTAAACCCCGAAACCCCCAAACCCAAACACTACCTTTTGGATTCAGCTTAAAGCTTCAAGGCTTTAGGGCCGAAGACAAGCAGCCTTGCAGCCCCCTTGTAGTAACGCAGGGGCCTGAATAACTAGAATAGGGCTTTAAGGGCCTTAATAGTTAAAGTAGGGTTTTGGGGCTCCTTCAAAGGGTTCCTTACAGGGTTCTAAAAGAGCTACTATAAGGGTCTAAGGTTTAAGGGCCTTAATAATTAAAGTAGGGTTTTGGGGCTCCTTCAAAGGGTTCCTTAAAGGGTTCTAAAAGAGCTACTATACGGGCTTAAGGTTTAAGGGCCTTAATATTTAAAGTAGGGTTTTGGGGCTCCTTTAAAGGGTTCCTTAAAGGGTTCTATAAGGGCTACTATAAGGGTTTGAGGCTTAAGTGCCTTAATAGTTAGAATTTGGGGTTTTGGGGTTCCTCTAAAGGGTTCCTTAAAGGGCTCTATGGGTTTAAGGTTTAAGGGCCTTAATAAGTAGAATAGGGTTTTGGGGTTCCTTTCAAGGGTTCCGCAAAGGGTTCCTTAAAGGGCTCTATAAGGGCTACTATAAGGGTCTAAGGTTTAAGGGCCTTAATAATTAGAATATACTATAAATATAAGGAGGCCCCAAAATACTATAGGTAATTATTTAGGCCCCTACACTAACTCCTCTAGAGCTCTTTAAACGGAACCCTTAAAGAAACTGCCCTCCAGCCCCAAGCCCCAAAACCCTAAACCCAAGAGGCCGCCCCTTCTCCAAGGCCTTAAGACTAAGATGCCCATGTCCACGTTATGTATCTTAGCATGAAAGAGGAATTTGTCCTGACAGCCCCTACCTGACGACAAAACATGTGCTAACCCCAATTCTGATGATTAGTTTCATTAACTTCTGACTATTTCTCAGTACCATTATTACTACAATTCTTGTTATGCTTATTGCCCGTACCACTGCTATAATTGCCTCGGTCATGAGGCTTCGAAGTCTTGTCTCGCAGCATCTCTGAGACGGTTCGGGTGCATTTACAGGTTGCTGCTTCGAGACTTAGAAACTCTCTCTCGCCTCCCCTAACAACCCTTTGCAACTGGCTTGCAACGTCGCACCGGGACAGCCCCCTAAACCCTTGTCAGCATGGGCTTGGATCGCCAGCACTCCTCAACAGCAGCGCCGTCTCCAAACCCTAAGAATCAAACCCTTTGCTACTGGACTCAAGTCTAATCAAACCCTTTTTTGGAATTGGCCTGGGGGACTAGCCAACCCTCAAACCCTACACCCTAACCCCAATCAAACTGTAGACCCTAGGTCTAAGAGCTTCTTTTGCTTTGGGGTTCAGGAGCTTTGGCGCAGGCAACCCTACATCACGTACAGTGCGCTATGTCTGTTCGGAACGACACTGTCTCTTCGGAATGGGCCGCTGGCCGTCAAGACGGTGAACAACCGCAAGGGTCTGCCAAGGGACGGTGTGTCCCAAGCGCGCTTGCCTGTAGCTTCCTCAAACTCGAAGACGGCCATTTGAATGTCCTGTCGGCTTCTTGCAGGCGAGTGCTTACCCAATCCAATCCTAAACTGGGTTGCTGTTATTTAGGGAACTTAAATTCAGCTACTACAGTAGAACAAGGAAACCCTTTTATGTACTATATATATATATACATATATATATATATATATCCGGCCATGGTAAGAGAAGCTTAAATTCATGCTCCATAACAGCAACCCGGCGAACCATCGCCCTGCAAGCCCCAGTCCGAAATCGGAAAAAATCACACAACATCCTGCTAGGTAGTATTATTAGGGGTACCCCATAAAGGGTACCCCTTCTGAACCCTACTTTTGGCTCTCTTAAAAGGGACCTTATTGAAAGGGTCTATATCCCCAAGGGTCCCCCTAATCCTAACTCCTACCTGCAAACGGCTCTCGCAACCGGATTTCTCTCCTCTCAGGATGCCTCATGCGTCTCCCTACACCTCATCTCCCAAGCCTGACATCCTGAACCTTGAACACCAAAAGAGCCAAAACCCCCTCTAGAACCACCTATGGGGTTTAGGGTTTAGAGTTCAGCGGCTTAGGCTTTTGGGCTTAACCCCCCTTCATGGGGCCCTTGTCTCTTCTTGCCTCGTCCCCTTCGAACTGCAAGGGCCCCAACGAGAGCATCCGCCGACCCATCCCCGGCCGGCCTGGGCCAGTTTTTATGCTTGGAGGTTGAAGCAAGGGTTTGGAGGTTTGGGGCTTTTTTTTTGAGGGCCTTTTTCCCACAGCACCGTGTCCGCAGGGGAGCCCACTAGGGCAGGCAGGTTTGCACCTTCGACCACCAGTTAGAACACTTACGGTTCCAACCGTACCACAGGCAAAACAACCCTAACTCACCTTCACCATACAACCAGGCATGCCCTTGACAAAGCCATAGACCAGGCATTGGGGTTTAGGGTTTAGGGCTTAAGGGTTTAAGGGTTTTTGGGGGGAGGTTTAGGGGTCTGGGCTGTAGGCTTCAGGATTTATGGATTTAAGGGTTTAGAGGTTTAGGGTCCAGGGTTTAAGGGTGGGGGTTTGGGGTTTAATGCACTAGGCAGGCATGGCTCCACAGAATCCGAAAGTGGTGTCTTGGATGAGATCCGATACGAGCAGAACCCATCTAAAGTAGTCACATCAACTGATGAAACATTGCTTAAGCTGGCTTTGAGGGTCTAAGGGGTTTGGTAAAGGCTATTGTACGGGCTCTGTAGGGGAGGAAAAAACGTTACTGTGACGGCTACAACAGGGGTTACTATGGGTTGAAGCTTTGGACTAGGGGTCTTGGAGTTTAGGGTTTGAGGCGGGTTTGGGGTGTAGAGTTAGGGCCGATGCGGTTCCAGTTTAGGGCTTGGGGTTTGTGGTTTGGCTTTTTTTTCGGAAGGGCGTTTGAGGGTTTTGGGGTTTAGGGTTTAGGGTTGAGGGTTAGGGTTCACGGATTTTGGTATAGGGTCCACTTTCCAACTCCTGCAACACGTGCAAGTTTTGGAATTTACACTGAGCACATGCAGTTGAGTGTCCACTCCGTTGCCGCAAATCGGCCACTTCGAAAAGCTTGTTCAAGGTGTCTCCTGGATAAGCCTGAGGCTCAGACAGGAGCATGCAATGCCGGACGAACAACGGCGGCAAAACCCCTACACCAATCACTGATCTAAGCCGCAAGATGGAAGAGATTCAACCTCAACCATGAAGAAAAAGACACTTAAACCCTAAACCCTAAACCCTTTAAACCTAAAACCTAAGACCTAAATCATGGCCTCCATGCTGATCCGGCCATGGCGGGGCGTGTCCACTGAAATACGCATAGCCATGGCTGGAGCCGACGACGCCATGGCCGAAGGACGGGGAGGAACTCCCAATTAAGAGTTCTTGGGGGTTACAGTTGAGGGTTTAGGGTTTAGGGTTCTTCGGCGTGTGTCGTCGGAAATTTGAAGACATCTTGCGGCTTTGGGTTCGCAGGGGGGGGGGGCTTTCTGCGATGTCGGGGACGGGCCGCGGGGGGGAGGGTTAGAGTGACTCTGCGACATCCAAAAGTAGGGGATTGCAGCTGTCCTGCCAGCAAGAGCTTTTAGGATAACCGGGGTCACTTAGGAAGTCTAAACCGCAAACCCTAAACCCTAAACCCTAAACCCTGAACCCTTAGGAAGTCTAAACCGCAACCCCTAGAAGCTATACACTCGAAGCCCTAAGCTTCCCCACACCCTACATCCTACTCCTTTCTTCTCAGCGTCCCCTAACGAGAGCCTACGAAGCAAACGGACCAGCCAAAATGGCTTAGCATTCCCGAGCTCCTGCTTGAGGGTCGGCTCACGACTCAGAGTTTGGAGTTTAAGGTGCATCTTCTTTGCCGGGTTCTTTTCCAACTGCTGCACTAATTTGGTGGTTTCGACACACACACACACACACTCGCACAAGGCTGGCATATATGGTTTAGGGTTTTAGGCTTAGGGGGACTGAGGTGGGGACCTTCGGGTTCAGAGTTTGGGGACCTTCGGGTTTCGGGTTTGGGGTTGGGGTTGGGGGGCCCCTGCTTCGGATTTGCGCTTCCGGACGCTGTGCCACTAGGAATCCTTATATGGGAGCTAGGAGTAGGGGACCCTTGGGGATATAGACCCTCTCAATAAGGTCCCTTTTAAGAGAGCCAAAAGTAGGGTTCAGAAGGGGTACCCTTTAAGGGGTACCCCTAATAATACTACCTAGGTTAGGTTGGCAGGCGGGGGATCTCTTTGGATGATGTAAGGATGCCGCGACGTGCGTGCGCCCCAACCAAGGCCAGGAAGACTTTCGGGTACACGTTTTGGGGGAGCCTAGCCTCCGTTACCGACGAGCCGGTCCAACTTAGGGTTTAGGGTTTAGGGTTTAGGGTAAAGGGTTTAGGGTTTAGGGTTTAGGGTTAAGGGTTTAGGGTTTAGGGTTTAGGGTTGAGGGCTCAGGGTAACTTTATGCCTGCTCTTCAACCAAGCTACCACTCTCGGGATAAAGGGAACTTAGCAAGCGGGCAGAAGAATATCTGGATGCTAATCCTAAACCCTAAACCCACACCAAAACCTTGTATTTTCCCGTCACCTTGGCTGTCATAAAATTATGTCCCGAACGAAGGCCCTTTTGCATCTAGGCCTCTTGCAACTGCCGTCTACCCCTGAACAGGCAAATCTGCAGCTTTAAAACCTCAAACTCCACAAACCTCAAACTTCCCTAAACCCTAAACCCAAACCCCTACCCCCAAAAACCTCAAACTTCCCAACACTGCAAGCCTGAGGCCGAAACGCCCAAAAGACCCCTGCAAGAGAGTCTCGAATCGATCCTGAAATCTCCGAAGCCAAGCTTTGCACAAGCTTGCGGCTGCACCCGGCCTGGCTACTACTGAGGCCTCCATTCGAGCTACCCTACCTTGGCAGAATTCCTGAAACTTCACCGCAACTGTCGTACTAACCCACGGCCCTGCAACTTAGCGCTGAACCCCAAATGCTGACACGTTTGCACATACTGCGTTGCGGTGACAACTTGTGCTCTCCCAACAACACCCTGGGCCCCCTGATGCTCCGCCATGCTGCGCTCCGAAGATCTCCAAAACAAAACCAAACTCCCAAGCCACTTGGGGGCCCTTATAGCACCCTGAATAGTCGGATCCTTATTTTAAGGACCCCAAACTAAGGTACCACCTTATTTTGAGACACTCCCACATCACCCTGGCAAGACTCGCTGAAGAAGAACCCCAGGACAGGGAAGAGAAGCTTCTGAACCAGCGGCCGGCTTCGCTTCACCTGCAGCTATTTTTTTCCCACCCGCTTCGCTGATATTGGGTTTAGGGTTTACAACATACGGTTGTGCTTACCTTTTGCATCTGGACTTGCGCAATCGCCAGAAGCCTAAACCATAAACCCTGTTTGCATCCACGCAAAAACTCCATAAGGCTCCATAAACGAAATCCTGAACCTACGGTATCAGGTCTCTAAGCCCGAAGAGGTTCAGGTGTTTAATAGGCATCAGCCGTGGGGACTGCTAACTTTGAGGAATCTTGAGGAAGTACGGTTTATGGCCTGTTGCTCTCAAGGACAACCGTGGGGCTTCTCAAGTCGCACGCTGGCTGCCGGTCGTCGTGGTTGGGGGTTTATGGTTTAAGGTTTAGGGTTAGGGTTTAGGGTTTAGGGTTTAGGGGGATAAAATTGCTCGATTGTTCGGCTTGGGGGATGCAGCGTGGAGACTTTGCCCGGGGCATGCACCAAGGCTTCTAGTTGGCCTAAAGATCATAGAAGTCTGCATGGCCCGTGCGCGAGGGCTCCTCCCAAGAGTGTTGTTTAAACGGCAAACTTGAATCTAAGGCATTAACCGTCACAAAACCGCTTACCTAAAGCATTGCAGGTTCGAAATCCGGATGTCGCGAGAGTGTCTGCCGGTGCAGAGAGGCATGCAATCCTTCATGACGAAAGGTTCTAGACTCCAGCGTCTAGCTTTCGGAGCACGCACGGCGAAGCTGACGCCAACACCTGGCTCCGAAAATGCGTAATCGGGACCTGCCTCCTGGTCATTCAGAGTCTCAGGGGTGTCCTCCATGCCACTTAACGCAGAGCTTCGCGAGAATGCGCCGATCTCCTCGGCTCTGAGGCTCGGAGGCGGGGTTCAGGCAATTGTTTTTGCTATGGGCCCCTGTGCCCCAAGAAGACTGAATTATGCTAAACCTTGAACCGAAACCCAAAAAAATGAACACCCACTCCCCTGCGAAGGACAACACACATTTGCGCCGAAGTCAGGTCAGCAGTACGGGCGTCTGCCTGCTGGCTGCCACACTTGCATTAAGCCACGCGACTTCCCGTGAATCCCCAAAGCAAAACATGCACAGGCAGTCGGGGGCCGGGGGTTGGGTAAGTTCCCATAGACATACAACTGCTGCCCTGAGAAGCAGAATCATCCGTCTTCTTTCTGCCTAGAAAATTCCAAGTCGACCAGGCTTCCGCGATATCAAGCTGAAAGGTGCCGTTCCGGAAATCGTCCAGCCTGGGGATTGTGGCGGCGATTTCGGCTTTCAATCTGCGCATTATAAAAAAAACAAGCGGAGAAGCGCTCAAGTTCGACTTGATGTCGGAATGAGGGCCCGTTCAACCCTTTCAATTGGGCTACGGGTTTCGACTCCCGCACTCGCACAAGGCTGACAAGGCTCCGGCTACGGGTTTAGGGTTTAGAGGTTGAGGTTTAGCATTCTGGATTTCAGGTTTGGGGTGATGTCTACAAGTTTTCCAGGCTTCTCGTGATGACGTAGGTTTCCTGACCGAGGAAGCTTATCAGTGAGTCGGCGCATTTTGAATTCTGTCCTGGTCCTAGTTGGACCATAACATGAGCAACTAGAAGGAGAACGGAAACACCCCCCTAAACCCGAAAATAGGGTGCTGAAGTAGATCCTGTCTGCTCTGGTAATCCCTAATACCAGAAAGATGGGACCCGTACTCAGCTACCCAGCCGCAGCCTCGGAGTATAGGGGTCACGGCCCGGGGCATCCTACATCCACTCCACCGAATTCCAACAACCCAAAGCCGCAAAGTGAGGGACGGTGTTAGCAGACCGAGTCCCCCTGCGTCTGCATCTGCTCGCTGATCCTGAGCTGAATGCCTACACTAGACTCTCCCGACTCAGGCAGGGGCTTACAATTTCGGGTTGAAAGCTCATGTGTTGAGGCTTTGGTCCCGAAGCTAGCTCGCGCGGATGGGAGTAACTAGCTGCTCAAATCAGGGCCCCAAGAGTATTGTACTTGTGGCAGCCGGGCCGCACAAACTTCGATACCTCGCCGCGACACATGTGGAAGCACTGAATTTCCAGGAGCAAAGATAAAGTTGGACACGAATCCCACCCCAACTACGTCAGCAATACGAATGACTTACAGTAGTTTTGGGTGTTGTTGAACGTGCCATTGGTGGCGCCAAGGAGCCGTGAAGCCAATCTGATAGACAGCACTCAAATTTGAAAGCTTCGGCGCATCCGGGATAGCCTGAGGAACGTGTCGCGAAAAACACCTTCAAGCCTCCACTCTACGAGTGAACCCGGTGAGCATCCACAAGCACATAAAACGCTGTCTTCTGAAACCCGAGCGCTACCAAGGAGCAATCGGACCTCGCACAAGCCGGAAGTCCGAGAACGGAACCTGCAGCAAGGATCTCATGAGTTGCACATCTCACATCTCCTTGGAAAAGCAGCTGCACTTCCACACATCACGCGGAAATCCATCTTTCTGGCGCGACTTGCGATGCAATGAAACTCAACGGGCCTGCACGCGGCTTGGGGAGCCGACCGCAGGCTGGAAAGGAGCCTCAGGGTCGCATGTCTAACGCCCCCAGCATGGTCCACGGGCACAACGCAGTGCAGCACTTGGCCCACGAAGGGTCATGAGGATAGGCTCGGATATACATAAACACCCAGACCGACAACGCTGCCTGGTAAACGACTTCACCTCGGCCCTCATCTGTTCGCAACGTCATCTTCCAAGCCCGACGGGCAACGTCCTGGACAGGGACGCTTGCCCCTCACTAAGACCTGAACAGCTGTGGGCAGAAAAGCATGCATCAGCAAGGCCAATGCCTCATCGGACACGAGGCCACAGTCCATGTACAAACCATCCGCTCCTGTTAATACAATGTGTCTCGCTCTTCCAAAGAAGCTCAAACCAAGAATGACAACTGCTTGCTGGAAGAATCTCCTGACAAGTTCAACGGTTGCTGGAACCTTGGCCACCAAATGACATGATGGGCAGCATGACAGGAATCCATGACAAAACCTTCATGCTACAACGACATGTCTTCTCGCACATAGCCAAAAGATGTCAAAAGGCATATGCTATGACCAGAGATCAGCATCAGCAACAGCTGCACAGCAACGCTCAAAGCCCGAGTTCATCATCTTCACCAGTGACGACGGTTCTACAGTACGGCTACGACGTCTGATGTGTTGGTTCTACCTTCTCGAATAGCTTGTTCGACTCATCTGCACAAACATCCCTGCCATTAGTTTGCCATTTGGGAGTAGGTGTGCAGGGTGTGCGGCGTGCCCACAACACACCTAACACGTCTGTGGTGTCTTCTCAGTTTTACGAAACGCAATCCGACCTGGAGCCCTTGTCAAACAACACGTTTGGATTCGTGGTGACCGCATGCGAGTCAACATTATCGTCGCTCTTCGGAATAATAGAATTGGCGTGGTGAAGCTTCTCCCCCATGTAAGTTGAGCTCCGCGTTCACGAGCTGTTCACCACCGCGTGACTGCTAAAAGCAAGCGGTTGCCCACACAGGATGCTCACGACGAGAAAGTCATGACGGGATTCGGTATTGGTATCATGAAAAAACAGACAGGACTCGGTATTGGTATCATGAAAAAAACAGTCCTGCTGAGCAAATGTTTTGGTTCACTTCACATCAATACCTGCACGAAAATAGCTTCTTGATCCGACGGAGCCCGATTCTTCCGACCGCTGAAATCGTTGCAACACGCTGCTGGGCTGCCCCCACAGCTCGCAGCACTTGCGGCGCGCACAAGGAGCGCTAGCGAGGTGGCGGACGGCATCCCGATCTGGCGACCGCGGTTGCGGGTTCCCGTCTGCGCGCAACAGCGACACCAGGATCACATCGCACAGCAGAAGGCTTCACCGACAAGGTCAAGCCGGCGCCGCTCATCTGGTGGGGCACAACCCGTCCGTCCCCTGCAAGTGCCTCCCGCGAAAGCGTGCCTGGCCAGCAATGCACCCTGGGCGCAGGCAGCACGGCGATCGCCCAGCCGGCCAACCGCTGCTCTGCAGCCTGGTTCGAAACATGCTGCCCCTTGCAACGGGCAGCCGCCACGAGCCGCGGCAAGCAAAGGCGCCGCCACAAGGCAGCGTGCATGTCGGAGGGCTGAAGCCATCGGCTGGGATGGCCGGTAGCCATTCGCCGGCATGGGGGCCTGCCTTGGAGTGCAGCACAGCTCGGGAAATTGGCGACACGCTCGCAGTAGGACGTGTTGATTGCGCGAGCTGCGGATTTCTGCCAGCCGCGAAGCCAACATCCGGACTTTGAGGGATTCTGAGGGCGCGTCGGTGGCGGTCGTGCCCTGCGAAGCCGAGCATTTCTTTTCCAAGGCCTCCTTTGCTCTTGCACGCGTGCAGGGTCGCAAGGTCGCAGCAGCATGCCGTAATCGTTCTATCGCAGCGGTAGGCGGTTCCGCCCCGCATGACCCGCGAGGTCGAGAACTCTCTCCAGCCAAGGGCCCGAGCATGGGGTGAAGCGGGCCATGCTTCCGACGCAGCGATACGCAGCGGCTCGCCTGGGCCGCCTCCTGAGCAGCCCCCGGGTCGCATTGAAGCGATTTGCTCGGAGCTGCCGACCCAAAGAAGAAGCTATTCAGGGTGAGGACCCGGGTGTGGCCGTCCTGCATCGTGACATATCGTGACTATTGCTGTGTTTTCGCTTCGGGCAGGTGCAGCCGTCTGTTTGGCGAGGGTCGGACGTCTCACCGCGAAGCGGTGTCGCCGGGATCTTATATCTCGCGGCCGCCGGATGCCGCCGGTACGTTTGTGAATTCGAGGCTCGGGCGGCCATATGGTTGGACGTGGATATCTCGATATCCGCCGACCTCCTCGGCATGGGCATTCATCAGGGTCTACCCGCCTGTCTTGCAGCCTTCGTGGAATCTTCAGCTCGGATTTTTTCTAACGACGAGTGGTGCCAGCTGCCGTGAAATCAAGATGGCCTAGAAGCAGACTGTGTCTATGTCAGACTGCAGAGCAGCTTGGCCTAGCCATTGCCCAATCATGGTACAAGATTAAACGGCCATCACGAGCTAGGTGATTGTAGCCTAGCAACTTGCCCCATGCCGCTGGCCTGTGACCGATCGCAGCTGATAGCTGCGGCGAGTGCCGTCTGCTGCAGATGATGGAGCAGGCTTTGCTGAGGTATCTATCATGCCTAAGCGGATGAAGACAGACTTGAACAACACATGCGCAGCAGCACTTCGCATTTGCTGTGTATATAGGTTCGTCGATGTGGGGTCGAGGTCGTCGCTTTGATTGGGTTGAAGCTGTTGGGCTGGCCGGGACATGGGATGGGGCTCTCCCCGAGCCCGGGGATCACGCAGCCACTGCCGGCACTATCCGACCTAGAATCTTGTGGCTGTCCAATTGCAGGGTCGGCACTGTATCCGTAGCCAATAAGACAGTATAGACCCCTTTGATTACGCCGCATTGATGCCATACACGACGATGTCTTTGCTTTCATACTCGGCCTCGCGCTTGGCTCCGATGCCGTAACCTTACACCCGACAAAAACTTTCCACGCCCCAAAAAGAACCAGCTTGGTGCTACACTGCTAAACTCTTGCAAGGGAGCCGGCTCTGCGTCCGTGGCGCCGTCACGTGGCGACATGGAGATTCGAGATGCTTGCTTGTTGGGTATAGGGTCTGAGGGCAAGGATGCCATCAGGAATGAAAGCAAGACTTTCCAAAGGTCCCTGGGCTGAACAGTTTTAAGTGGGCTTAGTACCTGATGTGTAGGGCTCGTGTTCGTCGATGTGGAGTCGAGGTCGTCTTCTGCTAGCGGGGAAGTTGGTTTCAACTAGGTTTCAACTGAGCTGTGGCTGTGTCTGGCCGAACTCCTGCCCGACTGTAGACCCAGCCTAATTGGCGTCCTGGGAGTTCTAGTGGGCAGTGGTGTCTACAGTGTGTCTAGATTTCCCAGAACAGCCACCCGGGGATCACGCAGTCACCCCTGTCAGCATCCCTGACTCGCTCTAAGGGTGGCGAAACCTGACGCGGCCGACCAGGGTGTCCTGTCCCCAGCCGTCACATTCAGACCAGCCTGCATGACGAAAGACGGGCACCGCCAATACCAAGTTTTGGCGGTGCGGATCAACACGGCGGACAAACCGAAGCTAGGCATTGTCCTCAGCGTTTATCGCGGTGCTTTGTTCCGGCGCAAAGAGAACACTTCCAGCAGTGTTTGCAAGATCGTCGCGGCGCCTCTGGAGTGCGAGTACGCGTCCAAGCTGCACGTCTGTCAGCTGTCTCTGGGTGTCCCGGTGGAGAACGCCTCTGAAACCAGTTTCCATGTCTCCTGCTGCAGCCCTTCACGAACTCCTGAAGTACCACGAGTCGGCCACTGGACGCCGGCTTCTGGACGATCAGGGCGTCCTCTTGATCGACGGACAGCCGGAGTGGGCAGCGCTTCGTCTGCTGGTGGCCGGTTTCTCGACAAGGAGCATCTCGCGTACACAAAGGCGAATGCGGCAGATGGGGTGCTGAACTTTTCCAAATGGGTGTTTCACAGGTTCCAGCAGTTGGTCCCTCTGCCGGGGAAGGCAAGTCGAGTGGCCAAGTTTTTTACGGAGGTGGCGCTGGCAACGCCACCGCCCCTTCGTTCGTGTCCATTGCTAAGCTGAGTACCTGCGCTCGTTGCATTCATAGATCCGTAGGCAGCCCGTAGGTTTCAGCCATGTATCCGCACCTGAGTTTGGCGGTGAGGCACTGGGGAAGCAACAGGCTCAGCGTGCCGAATTGTGTTTCAGAATATGCTGTACATTTTCTTCGAAAGCGATAGCCACTTCAGCTGTCCGCAGGCCTCGTTGCGAAGTGCGTGCCTGAACATGGGACATGGGGAGACGCATGGACTTCTCGAGGGCTGGAAGAAAAAAAGGCGATTTCGGCTCTGGGCCTTCTCCAGCATCTATGCGCCTTGAATCCATGCCCTGGTCCAGCCCTAACCCTCCGACTACATGGCATACAGCATCCATGCAGCACCCAACAAAAATGTAATTCGGGGGGGTTCGAAATGTAACTTGAGGGGGGTTGGCCAGATGCTCATCGAATCAGGAGCCAATACGTAAGAAACATTAAATGTAATAATGGGGGGTGCGGGCTACGTAACAGCAGCCGCAAATGTAACCAAGGGGTCCCCCCAAGCTATACCCCCTAAGTCAACGTTGGCATGCCACATCATGTGCCAGTCAACATGCGCAGCACGTTCAGCGCACCGTTACCGCCATGTACGGACGACGGGCGCAGATACATACGCGGCCTAGCACGACCAGATAGTTTGGGCAACGCTCCTGCGTCTTCTGGCGGAGCGGAATGTCAACGACATGGGCCGACGCGCGCCCGGTAACGCTGCGCCGACCCCGAGGCAGCACGGCGGTTCGCACCCTGCATTCCAACAGCGTGGGACGACGCCTGGAGTGGAATGCCTCGCCCCGCCTGCTTTGCGCACCCGCCATGATGCATGAACTTCCAAAAAAGGCTTTCTGCTCAGTGTGTCACCGATCTCCGAAAATGCTTCATACTGCCTGTGAAGCTGCACCAGCACAAGCCGAACCCCTGCAACGTCGAGCCCTGCAAAGAGGCGGCTGGATCGATAAATGGCGTCACATCTGTGACAACAACATAAGACCCACAAACCCGAAATGTATATATGGTGGGTCTGGGAACAAAGGCCCAGGTTACCACGTTCAAGCATGCACAGCATGACAATGTAACCGGGGTAGATCCGGGCCGCCCTTTACGTATCAGCGAACCCCCCCCCGAGTTACATTAACAAGGGGCCCCCTAGACGTTGACCATCAACACCGATGTGCACATCAGTCAAATCTTCATCAAGATCTTCTCCAGCGACCTGCTGGTGATGATTCATGGAATCCTTTTGTGGAGATACGGCTTGCTCACAGGTGTTGCATGCGTCTTTTGATCCGGCTCTTGCATTGTCCTACTTG